TACGTGGCTTGCTTTCTGAGGATTTCTGGCTCTGTTCCCCACCCCTACTTTTATCCTGCCCTTCTCTTTCCTTTATTTCTGCTTTCCCTATCCTGCCCAATTTTGATTCCTTTCTCAGTAATTTCTCCTCATTATGAGGCTTGTCCTGGAAAGAAGACTTGGTGGTCAAGAATTCACAGGGATTGAACTCTGTTAGCCGATGGACCCTATGGCAGACCCCTTGCGCTCACCGGCTACTGGCATTAACAAAACCCTCCCCAGTTTCAGCTACAGTTCTCAGATGGCCCCGCCATGGTTTCCCATGAATACAGGTTGCAATTTTGGGATTCTCCAGTTGTGTGGTTTCCCAGACACCTGTTACTTCCCTTTTATTTCTCCTACGCAGAGGCCCCAGTGGCACACAGGCCTTGTAGCTATTGCTGATTTGTCCTCACCCACTTGTTTTTTTTTTAATTTGTGAAGATACCTATCACCTAGTTTTGTTGTAAATGTCTTTCTGGAATTTTGTTTCTGTTTTTATGTGGGGTTGTGGGAGGAATCACACCTCTGCAGGGTGTCACTGCTTCATCTTACCAGAATTCCCCAAGGGCTATCATTTTTATAAACGAGGAAACTGAGCCCCAGGGAGGTGATTTGCCTAAGATCACACAGCTAGTGACAGAGGATAAATGTCTGTGAGAGCACCTGCTGTCCTGCCTGGCACAGAGAAGATGCCTAATGTACACAACTCCGTCCCTGTCTCCTCTCCATCTTCCTCTCTGCTTCCACCTGTCAGTGTCTTTTCAGGATTCTGTTACTGACAATTAAATGAGATTATCCAGGCAAAGAGCTCATCACACTCCCAACGAAAAGCATTCAATAAACGGTAGCTGCGCATATAGAATTTATGGCTGAAGAAACCAAGGGTTACAGATGTAAGCAATTGCTCCAAGTTAACTCTCTGGTTAGTGACACAGAGAGGACTTGGCCTCAGGTCTGTCTGACCAGATGCCGACTTTCTTTCTCCTATACCAATGGTTCTCAACTGGGGGCAATTTTGTCCTGCGGGGGTTATTTGGCAATGTCTGGAGACATTTTTGGTTTTCACCACTGTGAGCGTAGGGTGCTACTGTCATCCAGTGGGTAGAAGCCAGGGATGCCATTAAACACCCTACAATGTACAGGACAGCCTAATCCCCCCCCCCCAACAAAAACCTGCCTAGCCCCAAATGTCTATAGTGCCAAGGCTGAGAGACTCCGCCCTCCACCACGGTGCTATCCTAAACAAGCCTTACCTTAGAATCGCACTAAGGCTGCTCCAGGAGATTGTCTAACTCAGTATCACACGCCTTGAAAACAGAGATAGCTCAGGCATTTCCGGCCTCCTCCACACATACCCAATGCCCAGATTTCTTTTTTCAGAGACGAGATGAAGCTAGGAAGGCAAGATATTTGTATCCCTCCAACCAAGACATGGGGCAAGCTACCCTTCCTCTGGTGACCTTTCTGCCCCCAAGTGGGGTGGTCATAACCAATCAACAGACATCTCATGATACAACGTACCAGAACTCTGTGCATGCCATCCCACTGTATCTTCCTAAGGACCCCCTAAACAGGAGGCACCATCCCCCATTTTACACATGAAGAAATGGGTCTTTCAAGGGGTAGTTCAGAGTCTGTTACTTCCGAGTGTGCAAGGCAGGGATGTAGAAGATAGAAACTCAAATCCCGGCTCAACCACAGAGCCATCAAGTGACCGCAGGCAAGTTCTTCTTCTCTGAGCCTGTTTCCCAACCTGGAAGAACAAAAGGGCAGGATCACATGACCTCTAAGGCAAAGCAAAATTTGGAGCTGTGGTGTCATACAGACTTGGGTTCAAATCTCACCCTTTCACTGACTATCTTGAGTCCCCAGGCAAGTGACTTTTCCTCTCTGGGTTCAGTTTCCTCATCTGCAGAGGAGACAATCCTAGCTTTCTGTTCACAGCATTTTAGTAAGTCATAACTGAAATCATACAAGCGAACTGTTTAGCACAGTGCCTGGCGTATATGATTCCTCAAGTAATTGGACCTCTTTTTGTTGTCATTGTTGTTTATCTGAGACTCTTCCAATCCTGAGCTAACTTGGTTCTAGATAACACCAGGAGGAACCAAAAATAATGGCCCTCAATTGAGGGATGGAACAGGGACTTCTGGGGCATCTCTGAATCTCCTCCCAGCCCTTCCCTGCCCTTAGACCAGGCTCTGGACCTATGTTCCTCTCCTCCTGCTGGCAGAATGTGGGATTGCAACCCGGACTCTAGGTACCACCAGTGGATCCTGGGTCTGGGCTGAGGCGTTTATTCCAACGCCTAGGACAGCATGGTTTGGACACGGTCATCCCTCACCCTTTGCCACAAGAGCTACCATTTCTAAAACACTTACCGTTTGCCTGGCATGGGGCAAGGTGTTTCCTCTTATGAGCTCATTTAATCAGCTTTTTGCCCATGAGGAACTAGAGGCTTTTGGAAGTTTGAGTGACCTGGCCAAGGTCACATAGCTGGAATTAGCGTTGCCAGACTGCGGTAGGCTGAATAACAGCACCCCAAAGACATCCTCGTCCTGATCTCTGGAACCTGCGAATATCTTACCTTGTATTTTTTTTTTTTTAAGATTTTATTTTTCCTTTTTCTCCCCAACCCCCCCAGTACATAGTTGTATATTTTTAGTTGTGGGTCCTTCTAGTTGTAGCATGTGGGACGCCACCTCAGCATGGCCTGATGAGCGGTGCCATGTCCACGCCCAGGATCCGAACCAGTGAAACCCTGGGCTGCCAAAGCGGAGAGCGTGAACTTAACCACTCGGCCACGGGGCCGGCCTCCTTACCTTGTATAGTGAAAGGAACTTTGCAGGTGTGATTAAATTAAGGATCTTGAGGGGGCTGGCCCCGTGGCCGAGTGGTTAAGTTCACGCACTCCGCTGCAGGCAGCCCAGTGTTTCGTTGGTTCGAATCCTGGGTGCGGACATGGCACTGCTCATCAAACCACGCTGAGGCAGCGTCCCACATGCCACAACTAGAAGGACTCACAACGAAGAATATACAACTATGTACCGGGGGGCTTTGGGGAGAAAAGGAAAAAATAAAATCTTTAAAAAATTAATTAATTAATTAATTAAGGATCTTGAGATAGGAGACTATCCTAGATTGTCTGAGTGGGTCTAATGTAATGACAAGAGTCCTTGTAGGAGGGAGGCAGGACACACTGTATCTCTAGTCAACACTAATGTATTGTACACTTAAAAGTTTGTGAAGAGGGGCTGGCCCTGTGGCCAAGTGGTTGAGTTCGCATGCTCCGCTTCAGTGGCCCGGGGTTTCGCAGGTTCGGATACTGGGCATGGACATGGCACCGCTCATCAGGCCATGCTGAGGCAGCATCCCACATGCCACAACTAGAAGGACCCACAACTAAGAATATACAGCTATGTACCAGGGGGCTTTGGGGAGAAAAAGGAAAAAATAAAATCTTTTAAAAAAAATTTAAAAAAAATTTGTGAAGAGAGTAGAGCTCATGTTAAGTGTTCTTAGCACAAGAAAATAAAAAGGTTTTCTGAAAAGGGAGTCAGGAGGATCAGAGTTAGTGGCAGATGTGACAACAGAAGAGGTTGAAATGATTTGAGGAAGGGGCCACGAATCATGGAAGTCAGGTGGCCTCCAGAAGCTGAAAAGGCAAAGAGATGGATTTTCCCCTGAAGTCCCAGAGAGAATTCATCCCTGCCAACACCCTGATTTTAGACTTCTGACCTGCAGAATTGTAAGAGGACAAATGTGTGTTTTTTCAAGCCACTAGGTTTGTAGTAATTTGTTATAACAGCCACAGGAAACTAATACACAGATTTAGCAAAAATAAAAATAAAAAAACAGGATGCCCAGTCAAACTTGAATTTCTGATAGACAATTTTTTTAGTATAAGTATTTCTCAAACGTTGCATGAGACATACTTAAAAACAAATTGTTGTTTATCTGAAATTCAAATGTAATTGAGTGTTCTGTATTTTATCTGGCAGCTCTAGAAATGGTAGAGCTGAGAGCAGAAGCCAAAACTCATGACTCCCTGGCACCCCCCTCCCCTCCTCCACTCCCCCTGCACAATCTAGCATCTGGCACAAACTGCCATGTTCCCGTGGCCTTCCTGGGTCAGTCCCCACCTCCCTCTTGTCACTGGGGTAAGGAAAGGAAGAGATTGTTTAAGGTCATCTCTTGGATATTCCTTTGGGCTCTGAGTCCTCCTGGACTACAGAATTTCTCTCTAGAAATGGTTTAGCTTCTTAATTTTGCCAGAAAAAGGGACCTAGGGGATTTGTCTCAAAGTTGTAGTTGCACAAAATGTGGGGGGGGGGGGGGGGAGTTGGGGGTTTTAATAGACTAGGGGTGGGGGCTAGTAAAGCCTTTTTCAAGCTACCACTTTCTGAAGGGGACTTCAAGAACCCCAAAGCAGGAAACAATTATTGAATCAGGAGTTTAGGGCAAGAATCGTTACATATTAGGAAACTGAAGCCCAAGGGTGAAATGGGGACTTGCCCAAGGCCACTCAGCTAACGACAGACACAGATGTGCTCGGGAGCGGAATCTCCCCCTTTGAAGCAGCCAGTCCTGACGGCAGCTATGGCGGGAAGAATCCTGGAATGCTAATCCCGAGGTCTAGGTCCGAAACCCTTTACTTTATCGATTGACAGTTTCCCTTTCATGAAATAGGAGAATTCCATAAATACAAGGATTTAATGAAATAACGGATAAAAAACACCAGGTACATGGCAGTATGTTCTCGGAAAGCGGCAGCTTCTTCTTTCCTTCTCTGGGCCTCAGTTTCCCCTTCCATACTATCTAATCCTGCTCGCGCCCCCTGTTCCACCCCGCCCCTCCCAGGCTCAGATCCCAGAGCGCAGAGGCCCGGCCGCCAGGGGGGGACAGAGGGCTGGCACTGCGGCGAGACGTCGCACATGCGCACTCACGGGCGGCGCCCCGCCTTCCCACGCCCTGTGCACGTCACTTCCGGCGCGAGGGGCCGGGCCGGCCGGGCAGGGAGTGCGGGTCGCTTCTGCGCGCGCTGCCGGACGAGGCTCCCGCCGCCCATTGACCCGCGCTCCGCCCCGTAGCCGGGCCGGTGAGTGCCCGCGATCCCCTCCGTGTGCCTCGGGGGCCGGGGAGAGGGGCCCCTGAGAGGGAGGGATAACCGGAAGTGGGAGACCCGAGGAGAAAGAGAGACCCCAGGAAATGGGGACACCTGGGGAAGGGGTGACAACCAGAAATGAGGGGCCTCGGAAGGCTGTCGACGGGACGTGGGGTCTCTGGGGCTCCAGGAGCCGTGGCTTCCTGACCTCTCCTTCTTGGGGTGGGGTGGGGAAGAAGGTGATGCTCTCCAACTGATGGGTTCCAGGTGAGGAAGATGCCCGGCTTCTCCCTAACAAATGGTGTTTGCACCCATCCCTCTACCGCCGCATCAGTTCGTTCACCAGACTGTCACTGAGTCCTGCACTGTGCTTGACACTGCCGAGGCCCTAGAGATTAAACAGGAAGCTGCAGGTGGGGTGTAGAGCCCACTCTGGGGCTAGACGCATCCCCGCTCGGCCTCACCAGGTGTGTACCTTTGGGCACACATCATCCGCTAAGATTTACTGAGCACATCACGTGGCAGGCACTGGGGATAGCAGTGAAGGTGGCAGGCGAGTTGTCTGTCCTCGTGGGGTTTACATTCTAGTGGGCAGTTTCCTCCTTTGTAAAATAAGTACAGTAATGGTGCTCTCACCAAATATCGTGAAGGTTAAAGGAGAGGTATAAAGTGCTTATCACGATTCTTGATACTTGGTAAAATGCTGGAGCACATATCTCTTTTCATCCTTCCACTGTGAGTTAAACTTCGTAAGGCAAAGAATTACATTGTTCACTGTTGTTTTCTTGGTGCTTGTGAGCACAGAGCCTGACATGTATGGTAGCTGATCAGTAATTTGATAAACGAATGGGTGGTGAAACTGCCTTTAAGGAGTTTCATGACACTGGATGGCAATTTCTGAGAGAAAAATAGGAACCCAGTGCTGTGGAAAACTGGAAGGAATCACGCTGGGGGAGTCAGAGAAGGCTTCACAGAGGAGGTGACATTGAAGCTAGGCCTGGAAGGTGATGAGTTGTCTGGTTGGGAATAAACAAAGAGAGGAAGTTCCAGGCAGAGGTGTCAGAAATGCACGAGGTGTTTCGAAAGTGGTGGGTCATTTATTTGTTTTGGCTGGCATTTAATGTGCATTGAGATGGAAGGTGGGAGAGAGGCTAGGCCTGTAGCCCATGGACACTACAGTCTGCCTTCCAGATAAGCACTGGATTGGGATTAGAGGCATGTGTTGGTGACTCCCATGGAAACACCCTAGGGTGGGTCCCATGAGCCATGATTGTTGTTCTCTTCCTCACTCAGGATACCTCTGCCAAGCAAATTAAACTCATTCAACAAATATTTATGGAGTGCAGACTATGTGTCTGATACCCTGTTAGGTGCTGAATTTAAGGTGATGAACAAGGCAGATGTAGTCTACAAATTACCTTACCGACAGTTACAAGAGTAGGAGGGGCTATGCCAAGGAGCTCCTGTTGGGGAGGCTCCTAACCTGGCCTGAACTCAGAGGAGGCTTCCTGCTTCAAGCACCATCATCTCTTGCTTAGATTACTTGCAAGAGCCTCTAAATGGTCTTGTCACTTCTGTCCTTATCCTCCTACAGTCCACTCACAAAACAGCCGAGTGATCCTTTTAAGATACAAATCAGATTGTGTCACTGTAAACCCTCCAGAGCTCCCACCAACCTCAGTAAAAGTCAAAGTTCTTACTGGCCTGCCAATCCCTGTACCAGTGCGGCCCCAGCACCTCTCTAAATTCATCTGCTCATACTCTCTGCCGTGCTCATTTGCCTCTAGCCACACTCACCTCTTTGCTGTTCCTTGAAAAAGCCAGGAATGTTCCTGCTTGAGGCTTTGCACTTGCTCTTCTCCCAGATGTCTGCATGACATGCTGCCTCATCTTCATCTTTGCTCAAATGTCACTCAAGTGAGGCCTTCCCTGCCCACCCTACTTAAAATTGCACCTCCCATCCCCAGATACATCCAGCCCCCTTCCCTGCTCTGTTTCTCTCCCCGGCACTTACCCTCTTCTAGTAGACTGTATAGTTTATTTTGCTTATAGTCTCCTCCACTAGAATCTAAGCTCAATAAAGGCAAGATTTTTCATTTGTTCACTGTTCTATCCCCAGTGCCTGGAAGAGAGCTTGGTCTGTACTAAGTGCTCAATATTTGTTGAGTGGATGAAGTAGCATCTAATTGGACTTGAGGGTGAATCAGTCAGATGAAGAACCGGAGGAAGAGCATGCTAGTGGGAGGAAACAGGATGTGCACAAGACAAGAAAACACATCTTTGGGAGGAAGTGAAAGAAGCTGGGTGGGGCTGGAGGTTAGAATGCAAGGAATGAAGTGGGCAGACCTAAGATTGAGAGGCAATGACCTGGTCTCTCTGGCTGGGGGGAGACTGGCAATGTGCAAAGACCCCAAGATGGTCCCTGCCTTCCTGGCTGAGCTCAGAGTGGGGGATCATCGACAGCCCATGGACGGGAGCTTGGGCTTTGGAACTGGGCTGCCCTGCTGCTACCTTATTCCTGGGATATCTAAGGCAATTGCTTTGTTTTTGTTTTTCCTTCAGTAAGTGTGTTGGTTCACTTCTTCTAAGAAGCAGACACTAGGATGCGATTAGCCGTGCAAGACATTTATTGGAGGCAATGCCTGTGAAGCATAAAAGGAAGGGGAGCTGGAGAAGTCAGGGAGAATCTTCAGGCAGCCGTGCGAGTCTGGCCCCTGTGAAGGAGGTTTGGGCAGGAAGTCTCAGACTGGAGTGCATTTCCATGAAAGGTTCAGCCAGGCCAGGCTGGTAGGGCATCCTCTAGGCGAAGTTGCCTGTTAGAGGAGGCGTGGGTCTCCCTCAGTCACTGGCTGGGGGCAGTCTGGAAAATATAGCATCCACTGGATGATGGATCCAGAGGGACAGCAGCTGAGGCCATCCGCCAGTTATGCTCCACCCCAACAGAAGATCTGATCAGCTCAGTTTCGTGGCCATGATAAGTCACATGTGTATGGTAAAAAATTAAAACAGCAGTGAAAAGTCTCTCTCCCACCTTAAATGTCCAATTGCCCAGTTCAGTTCCCTGGGAACACTGGTAACAGTTTCTTTTTATCTCCTTCCAGAAATTTTAGGTGCATTCATAAGTGTATATGTGTATATATTTAAAAAACATAAATGTGATTATTTTATGCACACTGTTCTGCAGTTTACTTTTTCCTTAATATGTCAATTCATAAAGATCTGCCTAAATTCCTTTTCATAACTGAATGGTATCCCATTCATATGGTAATACTATTTAATCAGTCTTCAACTGGTATGCAATTAAAGTGTTTCCAGTCTTTTGCCATTATAATCAATATTTGTAATCATCATCTTTGTGTATGCGTTTTGCGTACACTTACAGGTATAGGTCCTAGAAGTGGAATGCTGAGCCAAAGGGTATGTGGTTTTAAATTTGGTAGATACTGACAAGCTGCCTTCTAAAGAGGCTGTGCCAATTTATTCTCCCACCCGCAGCAAGCATATCAGAGTAATTGTTTTGTATTTTTGGCAATCTGAATTTCAAAGTTGTTTTAATTCACATTTCTTTAATTATGAGTTAAGTTGAGCACCTGTTCATACATCTGTAAGCAAGGCCGTGGTGTCTGCTGAGGAGTGTGTCTCTCCTGCCCTAGCTGCCTGGGTGCCTCCATGGAGATTCTAACTTCATTCGGCCTGGGGTTGCACCTGGGTGCCTGGTTCAGCTCCAGTTCATTCTCCTGCTTGAGAACCACTGCTCTGAAGTTACTTGGCTTGACAAAAACATTCGTCTGCCTACATCATGATGTCCTGGGGTTTGAAATGAGCATCGCTGGGCTTTATTAACTCCACTTGGGGCTTTTGTTTTGGCAGGAATCCTGGTAGCTAATGTCAGAAGAAAGTGACTCTCTGAGAACCAGCCCTTCTGCGGCCTCTCTTTCTGAAAATGAGCTGCCGGCACCGCCCGAGCCTCCTGGCTATGTGTGCACTCTGTCAGAAGAACTGGTCACCAAAGCCAGGGAAGAGCTGCAGGAGAAGCCGGAATGGAGACTTCGAGATGTCCAGGCCCTCCGTGACATGGTGCGGAAGGAGTACCCGAACCTGAGCACCTCTCTCGACGACGCCTTCCTGCTGCGCTTCCTCCGAGCCCGCAAATTTGATTATGACCGGGCCCTGCAGCTCCTCATTAACTACCACAGCTGCAGGAGAAGCTGGCCCGAAGTCTTCAATAACCTGAAGCCGTCGGCCTTAAAAGATGTCCTTGCTTCTGGATTCCTCACCGTGCTGCCCCACACCGACCCCCGGGGCTGCCATATCCTCTGCATCCGCCCAGGTATTGCCCTAGGCTGTTCCAGGGGGTGTGTGTACAGTTTGGGACATGTCTGTCCAGCATCCTCTCTCCCTTTCCTATTCCCTTTTGTCCCCTCTCTGTCTTACTCAAGGCTCTTTTGATGGCAGATGACAAAAACCTGCTCAACCAGGCTTAAGAAAAAAGATAGGATATAGTCTAAGGAGACAGGAGCATCTCACAGAACCAGAGAGCTCTCATAGGCCCTGGAACCGAGAACCAGAATCTGGTTCATTCCCCCATCAGGAACTAAGACAAAGACAGCCTTTCTCCCTGTCTCTGCTTCTGTGTCTCAGTCTGTGCATCTCTCTGGGCCACACGTTTCTGCTGCCCTTTGCATATCTCCTTCACACTTCTCTCTATAGACTGGCTTTTGCTGCCTCTGTGTACATGGCTAGCTCTGGCACCCCTCAGCTCCTAGGTTTACCTGGCCACCCAACTAAGTTCCTTCAATGCAAATTCCAGATTTCTAGGGTTGAGAATCTGGCAGGCTGAGAAAGCTGCCCTGGTCATAGGATACAGGTGGGGCTGCCAGGACCCCTGCCCTCCACGACTTCCCTCCTTTGTGAGTAGGTCAGGTACAGACATCAGTGAAATGGTGTGGGCTGGGCAGACGCCTGGAAAGATGTCTGTGTACCATGTGCCTCCTCCAACTTTTCTCTCCTTTCTTCTACTTTGTTAAGCCATTGAAAGGGCTCACAGATTCACCTTTTGATCTGAGCACTTCATGAGGGTAATCAGGACACCTTATGTTTCTTTGGCACAGTAGTTTTCAGTTGGGGACAGCTCCCCACCCACAAAAAGTATTTGGAAATGTGTAGGGACATTTCTTGGTTGACACAATGACTAGGGGATGCTAGAACTCAAGCTTTCTGATTCTTCTTCCTCTTCTCTTCCGTGACACTAGATGCATTATAATCTCAGGACGCTTCTCCACTCCACCCCTGGCCTCAATGTTGTCCATCAGACAGAGCTGAGACAAAATTTGAAAGTAAGATTTCAGTGTTCTTCCCAGCCAAGCCAGGAAAATGAGAACGTGCCGATAGCCCTCCTTCGCGCGTGCGTACAGACTCCTCCTGGAGGGAAGCCTGACGGGGCAGGGAGGACGGCGTGCACCTTCCTCTGCCTTTGAGCCCCACATCGCCCTTGCCTTTAGCCACTTACCAAACCCTCTCTGGGGCCTAAACCGTGCTCTTGATCCTTTACTGTGTACCAGGCACAGTGTTAACTGCATTACCTGCTGTTTTGGGCACTTTCCAATATTAGAGGTGCTTATTTTAAAATCAGCAATGCCGTGGAGATTTCAGGGCACCAGGAGACCTAGAAACCATTTGACGAGTGTTTCTGCTGCTCCTCTGCACTCAACACATAAGACTATTACAAAACAGATATTACCACGCTGGTTTCAACCCTTTGCTTGTGAGATGAATTTTTTCCCCTTGTCTCTGGAGCAGATCTAGACCCCTCCCCACCGTCTCAACCTTTTAGGAGGGGGCATACACCGAAGGTTTTGTTTCCACTGGGTGTGGGCTTTGCCTTCTTCTAAGTGCTTTTGAGACATATGTGATTGAAAGGATGACATCCAGTTATGTAGAAGCAGGTTTAATTGGCAGCAAGATTAGACAGCAAGCTGGCACAATTTTTGGACAAGGATTTTTTTCATAGGAATTTTGCACATTACATATCCCATTGGTGGAAATTATGTGGAGTTTTATCTTTCTAAGAAAGGGACAGACAGATCTTGGTGGGATTTTCTTGAGAATAGTGGTTAATGGTCAAAAGTGGTCATTTTCATGTTTTTCCCAAAGAGAGGGAAGACTCCTTAAATATATGGGGAGTATTAAAGGAGCATCCAGCCTGGAAAGGGGAGTTTGCTCAACCTACAGCATTGGGAAGCCGTCTCCATCTCTGCTGTCCTCAGCATGGCTTTTCTCAGGCCAGCTCCTGCCTCATGGCGCCCCTGAGTCTCAGGCTCCCAGCCTCACCACTACAAGAGGGAAGAGATCTTCTCCTTTCAAAGGGCTAGGGTCCCAGGATTGAGTCCCCTTGGCTCTGCTTGACCTGGCTTGGATCACACACTGTGCCCAGGAGGATGTAATACCCAGATTGGCCAAGCCCACCTCTGGAGCCAGGAGCTAAGTCAATTTTACCCAAACTACATGGCTAGCGTGGGAAGAGGTGGTTCCCTAGGGAAAATCAGGGTGGTGTTATGAAATAAAGGGGCATATCTGATGGCAGAGGCACAGATGTCCATTAAGGGAAGTATTATTATGCCATTCTACTTATGAGGAGATGTAGGCTCAGAGTGAGGAAGTAACTTGCCTAAGGTCACACAGCTGTTACCATTCAAACCCCAGGTTGTCTGACTCCATAGCACATACTTTTAACCTCAACACTCGGTTGCATTTCCATTTCAGAATGTGATGCTCTGTTTGGAGTTAAGAAACATTAGCTGCTGCTTAAAGGGGCCCCTTTACTAACCTAAGTAGAGTCATGCTAGTAGAATATCTTTCTCTTCCATTTTTAAACGACAGTTTTAACAAAGAGATAAATCTTAGCCTGTCTGATTACTTGTTTGTATTCATTTCTGTAATATACTGTTCATTTCTTATGACCTTAGACAGATGGATACCGAGCAACTATCCAATTACGGAAAACATCCGAGCCATATATTTGACCTTAGAAAAACTCATTCAGTCTGAAGAAACCCAGGTGAATGGAATTGTAATTCTTGCAGACTACAAAGGAGTGAGCTTATCAAAAGCATCTCATTTTGGCCCTTTTATAGCCAAAAAGGTGATTGGCATCCTTCAGGTATGGCCCGTATTTGTCACACGCCTGTTCTGTGCTTGTTTTGGCTTTCCCTGGGGCCCTGTCCTTTTGCTTCAGATTCTGCATGATACACAAACCCCACTTCCCACTGCTACAATCAGAAGAGTACAGAAGCGTCATGGGGAAAAAGGTAAAAGTCCTCTTTACCCCTCATTCTCATCAGGGTCCAGTAGTTTTTGAGGTGCCTTCAGTCTGGACAAGACCAGCTTTAGGGCGGGAGTCCAAACACCAGAGAAATGCTTTCTGCATTTTTGTGTGTGTGTCCAGGAGACAGAGGAGAAACTCTCCTAACAGATGACACTGAGCAATTGTGCTTCTGCCCGAGGCGATCGAGCCTCCTGCCCTTTGTGGGACCTGGCGGCATGGAGCACTGTTGGCCAGATGCTTTCATACCTCACGTCCTGTGCTTTAGCCGGAAAGTTCCTTACCTACCTTCACAGTATTTAACGGTTTGCAGAGCTCTTTTACAGTCATTGTAACCCATTTGGTCCTTCAAGGAATCCTCTGAGACACACAAGGCAAGAATTATTTTTCCTTTTTGACAGATTGGGAAGCTGAGGCCCAGAGGATATAGCCTGGCCCAAGCTCACAGCTCAAACAGGTTGACTCCTCCTTCATTCTGACCCAGCCACAGGGGTGCTGTCTCTTGTCACCTGTGGGGCACCAGAGATAACAACAGTTCTCCTCATTGAATTCCACAGTGTGTTTGGGCCCCTACTGTGCACAGGCTGATTATTTAAACATCAATGTCACATTAGGTCATTATCGGAAATTTGAATTCTGGCTTTGAGCCAATACTCTGGCTTTCCTCAGCTTCCACTCTTCTTTTGGTGCCCCTGCTAAATACTGTGCAGATTCAAGTGTCAGGATAACGAGTTTGGATCAGTGTTTTTCTAGTCCTGTAAGATGACCTGGGGGACAAAAAAAAGTTCCAAGGTTAAATAAGTTTGGGCAGTGTGGGATAAGAAGTCTTTCTTGTGAATTTCGCAATAAACATTTGCTTATTGAAAGCTCTGAACAGTCCTGCAGTTAAGGAAACCTGTTTGACTATGTTAGTCTCCTCTTTCTCAAACTTAGTTATCTACCATAGAACCCTTTTTTGCATCACACCTAGTAACACCCAGGGAAATACACTTTGGGCAACACTGATCCAGAAGGTTTCCTATTTGCTCGATCCATCCATACAGACTCAGACCGTTTTTGCTACAAGAAGAGCAGCTCTCCATTTGTTTGCCTAACTCTGTTCTAACCCAGCTCTGGGTCCCAAGAGGCTCTTCCCCTGAGGCCTGTCTTCCTGTTTCGCCCCGACGTGGGCTGTCATTGAGGAGGCCGTGAGAATCAGACCAGACTGATGTTGGGGCCTAAAATGAAGAAGATTTAAGTGGGGAGGCAGGCTGTGGAAACACAGTTTGCAGATACTCCACATCTTCTAACGTTCCCTTCCCTTTCCCCACAGGATGGTTTCCCCATTCGGATAAAAGCAGTCCATGTAGTGAATGAACCTCGAATATTTAAAGGCATTTTTGCCATCATCAAACCATTTTTGAAGGAGAAAATTGCAAATAGAGTAAGTGATGATCCTATTGACTTAAGATACTTTTTTTTTTTGCTCCTTTATTCGTGACAAGTATCTATAAATTTATTGTGACATCAGTAAACTAATCTTAGTTTATTATTTTTGCCCTGGGACTACTAATTTGGAAAGAACGGGATTACAGAAAAAATAAATGAACAATCCTTTCTGTGAGAGGAAGATGAAATTAATAAGAATATAATATATGACAGTAGAGAGAGCAGAGGCAGGATTGTTATCATAAGAGCTCCCTTGCTCTGTCATCCTTTAGACTTTTTCATATCCTGGCCTGGGCATTGGGAGCCAACACTGCATTTTATGTTCAAGAGGACGTGGAGGAGGGTAGTCATTGGGCAGATAGTTCAGAAGAGTTCTGGCGATTTCTTACCACAGCTCCCTGGGATTTAAAAATGCTATTTAAGCCTTTGCACTTACATAATTTCTTGTCTCTCTGTATAAAGTTTGTGGAATAATTCAAGTTTATGAAATATGTGAGTTTTTTAGCTTAACTTGTATTTAAGAAAGGATAGATGACACTTTAAAAGATGGTCTTCCTTGGGGCCAGCCCTGTGGCTGAGTGGTTAGGTTCGCGCGCTCCGCTGCAGGTGGCCCAGTGTTTCGTTGGTTCGAATCCTGGGCGCGGACATGCCACTGCTCATCAGACCACGCTGAGGCGGCCTCCCACATGCCACAACTAGAAGGACCCACAACGAAATATACAACTATGTACCGGGGAGCTTTGGGGAGAAAAAGGAGAAAAATAAAATCTTTAAAAAAAAAAAAAAAAAAAAAAGATGGTCTTCCTTTCTGACCCAGAAGAGCCAGTTCTCTTTTAACCTTTCCCAGTACCAAAATGAAATGGGGTGGGTGGTATTTTTCTCCTGCTTTCCTGGCCCTAGGAACATTGTGGTCATTCGATGACTCAAGACTCAGTCTTGAATTTTGTGCTCTCTTTCAGAGAGGAAACAGAGAATCTCAAGGTTGCAAGGGAGGGAACTTAAAATCCAGATCCAGATTCCCAGACCCTTTGCCTGGAGATTTTAGCTCAGCAGTTCAGGAGTAGAGCCCAGGAATCTGTGCTTTTAAAATCTCCTTAAGTGATCCTGATGCGCAGTTAGGTTTGAGAATCACTAATTTAGTGGCCTCCCTGCCTGGGTTTGAACCCATGTTGGTTCCTGGAGATCCTGTTAGGAGCCTGCTTTCATCAAAGCAGCCTTTGGACCAGGTCCTTTATATCTGTGGAATGACCTTATTTGTGGCGCATAATCTTGTTCATTTGGTCCTTCCTACATTCGTTCATTCATTTAAAAATATTTATACTATGTGCACCTATGTTGTAGATGAACAAAATAGACCAAAGTCTCTGCCCCAGAAGCTGACATTGTAGAGAAAGGCACAGACAATGGATTATGTATGTTTTCTGGTATTAGAATGTGCTAAGTGCTATGGAGAGAAAGAAAGCAGAGAAAGCGGATGGTGAGTGCAGGGAGGGGAAAGCTTGCCATATTCAGTAGGGTGGTTAGAGGTGGCATCACTGACAAGTCGGCATTGGAGCAAAGACTTGAAAGAGCGGAGTAGTGAGCCTGACAGATCTCTGGGGGACCAGCAACAGCACAACCGTGAGGTGGGAGCATGCCCGGCATGCTGGAGGAGCAGCAGGGTGAAGTGGGAGGAGGGGGAGGCAGAGAAGGAACAGGGGCAGACTGTGACAGGCTCTGTGGGCCACTGTTGGACTTTGGCTCTTAGTCTGTGTGAGCTAGGAGCACTGGAAGGTTGTACATAGAGGAGTGATGTGACCTGACTGACATGAAAAGAGCTTAGATTGTGGTGGGACAAGGGTGTGAGCAGGGACACCAGGTAGGAGGCCAGTGTGGGAATCTAGGTGAGATGTGAGGGTGGCATGGTACCATTAGGGGGCAGCGCAGTGGTTGGATTCTGGATATATTTTGAAGGACCAGCCAACGGGCCACAGGGTATAAGAAGAGAATCAAGGATCCCTAAGCTTTTTGAGGAACTAGAAGGGCCAAGTTGCCATCAACTGTTCCTTTATTCATTCAACACATAGTTATTTGAGCACCTAGCACAAAGGAGGTTACGAATTACTGATTAACCTAAGGACATGTGTGTTTTCATCTCATTCCCCTTTAGTTTTTCCTCCATGGGTCTGACCTGAATTCTCTCCACACAAACCTTCCAAGAAGCATTCTCCCCAAAGAGTACGGGGGCACGGCCGGAGAGCTGGACATCACTGCCTGGAACGCGGTGCTGCTGGCCTCTGAGGAGGACTTTGTGAGAGAGTTCTGCCCACCTGACCCCGCCTGCGACAACATCCTGGGCCAGGCCCTGCTGCCCGAGGGGGTGACCTCAGATGCGCAGTGTGATGACTCCATGAGGGCTGTGAAATCACAGCTGTACTCCTGCTATTAGCCAGGTCCCTGTGGGTCTCACCATCTTTAGATCCTTTCCTTTTTTCCCTGGAGGGGCACAAGGAGAATCTAAGGTGCCATGGATTCGATCCTGCTCCCTGTAATTAAACTGCAGCATGGAGGAAAAGCCTGGAGAGCTCTGAGGGTGAGCCGTGGGGTAAGCCCTTGGTTACTTGAATTACTCTGTGTAAGACATGGAAAATGTCCCCTCGTGATTCCCAAACATTTGGAATCCCAGTTTACAACCATTAATCTGGAAGCTGTATCTGGTTCTTACACATCTCAAAGCCAGAAGAATCAGGACTAAAGTCACTTTGATCCTACGTCCCAGGAGAAAACCACCTGATTGGCCAGGCGGCACACTCCCCTGAAACAGTTTGGCCAAGCCTGCAAGGTGGCCACACGTGAGACTCGGGGAGTCTGGCGTCTTTCACATGAACCCTAAGTACAGACCCCTGTTGCTCATCCGGAAACTTCAAGTTGGAGGTACGGGTCCCAGTTGCCATCACTGGGTTTGAAAAGCACCTTAACTGAATCATACAAGCATCAAGACATAAGCAGCACTTCTAGATCCAATTCGGGAACCGGAGACTTCAAGCACCTCTGGGATTCGTTGGTTGAATCTTGCAATAGAAACAAGTTTTCCCAAACCCATAAGCCTTAGCCTTGGTTCTCAATAGAATCATACGGGGCCCTAGAAGTATGTGATTTTACTCGTCCTAAAATACTAGAAGCCAAGCCTATGTTGCTAAAAGAATTCTGGCTTAAGAATTAAGAGAGCTGGGCTCCAGCCTCAGATACGTGACTGTGGCCAAGGCATGGGCTTCTGCAGGCCTCAGCTTTCTCATCTGTAAAAAGAGGCTGGATGAAATGATGCCCAGGGCCCTTCTGGCTGCTGAGGTTCTGAGATTTGGTTTAGTTATTGAATGTTAGACGTCGGTTTTCTGCAAGATGACTCTCTAGATGCAAGTGGTTGGATCCTGTTTTTTGTGGGCCTTTCCAAGAGGGATGTGTCTCCATTTGGCCCTGCCTTTAAAGAAACCAGTATGCATATTCTTGGGACCCAGCGATACCAACTTCCTTTTCATAGTGAGGGTTAAATTTGAAAAGGATGGCTTTTGTGAGGGCAGGTGAGATGACCAGGATCTTGTATGAATTCCTTCCATCCCTGAGACTCTGGCAGTATTTTGTAACCCTGGCAATGGGGAATGGTCAAAGTACTTGGGATTCTTAAATTTTGGTCTCTGGAAATGAAGGCAAGGGCAGGTTATTGCTGAGTCACTTCTGGAGCCCCTGCCCTCCGAAACCCACCTGAGTTTTTCTCTCTGTGTGGGTGAACAAACTAGTCTGTCCAGACTGAATGTTAGTTCTGCATTTCAGCACTTTAGACCCTTCCTATTGAGAATTTAGCCTTAGCCCAAGCATCAAATTAGGTGGTTCATCTGGTGGCTTGACCTATTGCCTCTCATATTCATTCCATGCAAATTATGGTGTTAAAAAGTGACAAGTACTGTGTTGTGTATATACCTTCTCCGTGCACTTGTCAGACCACCAGGCAAGGTGGACAGCTCAGTTAGGAAGAGAACTGTGCTCTGAAATTCAAGGGCCAGCCTGTTGTTAATAAGCTGTTCATCTTTATAGCACTTTTTAAAATATTTGGAGAAGCTGGTGGTGGGAGTTACCTCATTAGTGCCAATTCTGAGGAAAGCCCTTTTCACCAGAGATGCTAACCCTGGATCCTCTAGGAACCTGGCTGAACTGGAAGTGCCAAAACGCACAGCATACCCCTGGCTGCCTCTAGTTTCATCTGACAATGACAGTATGACCAGCATTGCTGAACAGATCTAAGCAGAATGGCTAAAGTAGAGAGTTCAGAACCAACTGCCTACATGGGAGAACTGGTTAGAGGCTTTCTTGGGTTCCAAAGAGGAAAGAAAGATTAAAAATCAAAAAAAGGCTAAACAAATAAATCACTCAGCCCCACCAAGTTTCCAAGGTTTAAATTCTGCATTGCATTCCTGGCCAATTGCCTTTGTCTATGGACAACATAGAGATGGCGAAGCTCAGAGAAATATCTCAAAGACCAGGAAGGATGTTGCTCAGGCCTTTCCAGTTGGACCAAGCAGCCGTTTCATTCAGCTTCTGGAAGGATCCAGAGCCAAGGTTTGTTTGCCTCCCAGAGCTGCTGTGCTTTGTTTTGACTCCAAAGAGAGATCAAATAGTTTGGACCCTAGGAAGTTTGAACCAAGCTGTGAAAGCAGGACCTCCCCTGGGTGAGAATCAAGGCAAGTCTCTGCGTGGCTGCACCAGGCGACTGTATAAAGTTGCCCCAGCCGGGTGGGGCGTGGCCAAGGGAGCACAGTGAGCGGTCCTCAGTAGCGGGCACAGTGACAGAGCACACCAGTGAACATCAGAACTGGGACTGTTTTCCTGCAGAGAAAAGCTCTGGCCCATTTCACAAACACCTCAAATTTAACTTTTCCCTAAATTCAGGCTAGTATCGTGTAGGGAAGCGAAGGGAATAGTAAATTAGGAGACCTGAGTTCCAGCTTTACCTTGCTGTGTGGCCTTGGATGAGGCACTGAACACCCTTGAGTCATCATATGATAAAGAGGACCTAAACGCTGAGCTCTGAACCCTCTGTTCCTGGCATCAATTGGCTTCACTGCCACAGGGACACTGTCCCACATCTCTTAAAGTCCCCCCTCCCCCTGAGTTATTTTTTTTTTTTAAAGCTTGGCACCTGAGCTAACATCTGTTGCCAATCTTTTTTTCCCCCTTCTTCTTCTTCTCCCAAAGCCCCCCAGTACATAGTTGTATATTCTAGTTGTAGGTCCCTCTGGTTGTGCTCTGTGGGACACCACCTCAGCATGGCCTGATGAGCGGTGCCACGTCCACGCCCTGGATCTAAACCGCTGAAACCCTGGGCCGCTGAAGTGGAGCACGCGAACTTAACCGCTCGGCCACAGGGCCGGCCCCTGGGTTATTATTTAGGAAATTTAGGTCTGAATGAATTAACACCTAAAGCTTCCAAATGAATCCGTAAGCTTAGGTAATATGGAGGTTTTCTTCCTCCTCTTCTCCTACGTAGAATTCTAGAAAATTGTGCCTCTTCCTGGAATCCTGTTCTACTTTCCCAGGGAAAGGCTGCAAGAAATCTACAGAAACAGTCAGAAGTGCAACCCTGGCTTCCGGTCTTGAGCTCCTTCTTTGCCCTTGGCGAAGGTGGCTTTAGCTCCCTCATACTCCATCCTGCTTTCACGAGGAGCCACCTGTCCTTAGAGGTTTACAAAAACTTCAGCTCACAAGATACTCCAGTTTTGCCAGAAAGAGTTAGGGCAATCAGGCATTTCCCTGAATTCCTGAGAGAGTGCGCCTTTCAGAATTATCCTAGATGGGCAGTTTCTTGAAATCCCATTTGATTCTCAGATCAGTCGTGGGATTACTTTTTCATTTGGTTAGGCAAAAGCTGTTGTACTGTTGTGGCATTAGAATAATACCTCATTTTGAAGTTTTCAGCTTTTAAGGTTTTCCTTTGAAACTTTCACTTAGGAAGTGAAATGAGAGCTAATGGTACAGGTGTGGCTGTCCCATGGCATGAGAGGTGTGGAGGTACCAAACAGAAACATATTGACAGTTTAGGAAAGATGTGAGCTCTGGTAATGCCTCTCAGTTTTGGGATCTGTTAATTTTGTAAATCTAAAGTGAATTCCTTTCTGCTCTCCTGACTCAGAAATGGTTTGCTTGAAATGCCAGTAACAGGCATCAGAGTCAAATATTCCCCCACAGAACTTACTCCATGGGAAGACCCAGTGGATCCGTGGATGAGAAGCCAGTGACGAGTTTACTGTTTGCCAGCTTGCTGCTCTTCCTTTCATCCCGCTGGGTGGCAAGTTTAGCCGGGCACAGCTGCCCCGGAGGAATCTTGTGGATATGCCTCCGTCTCTTGGCCTATCAGTGGGGACCTGTTACAGGTGAAATACTTGGAACCTCTCTGGGGCCACGAGCCTCTGCCACCACTCTGATGGGGGGGAGGTGGGCTAATCTTCTGTCCAGACTTTGGGGTACCATTTCAGCCACTGGTCACATTCCTCGCTTCAAACTGAAATTCAGTTTGGCTTTGACTATAGGGACACGTGATGGTGATTCATCTACTTCAGTGTTTGTTTCGACCAAAAGTTTATTTTTCTAGTGCATTTTCTAAGTCAAAGTGGTGAAAACATGTAATTTTAGTATGCATGACTGAGTCTTAAACAATAAAAATCCCTGTAAGGTTGAGTGTGTTGAGTTCTTCTGTGACAATGAGTTTGAGGTCTTATCATTCCAGGTCGGATGGCCTGGGCAGTGCCTCCCTCCAGGTGAGCCCTCCAGGGAGGGGCACTGGGGCAGCACAGTGCATTCTGCAGATGGTGGGCTGGCTGCCTCTGAAGATCACGTGCAATGAGAAGACACCAGGGTGGAGAAAGAAGAACGGCGCCAGATGCACACGGTGATAGAGATGATATGCATGTCCTTCCTGGACCTAACAGTTCCTGAGTGCTCATGTGAGCCGGGCGTTGATTAAGTGCTTCACATACAGAATCTCATTTAATCTGCAAGCACACTTAAAGAAGTAGTGGTATTGCCTTTGTGGGGAAAGTGAGGCAGAGAAAAGTTAAGCAGCTTGCCCAATGACACACAGCTTCAAGTAGTAGAGCTGGGATTCAAAGCCAGGCAGTCTGACTGGAGCCCACGATTTCCTCCTGATGGTTGGAGCGAGGCTGTGCTCTTATTGCTATTAGCCCATAGACAGAGCATAGAGGGAAAGAAGGGAGGAATTTTTTATAGAGTGAGACAGCGTCAGTCTAAAAATTGGCTTGTTTTCTAGCTTCTCAGAAAATATAAAGTAGAGGTTCTTAACCTCTGAATCTGAACCCAAGTTTGAATGGAACATTTTTCAAGAAGTACATGTAAGTCAACTCAGACTCCCTGAGGGGTTACTAGGGTGTGGCTTGATCAACTCTGCTCCCAGGCACACTTAGCTTTTTCTCTACTTGCCCTGTTCCTTTCTACAGAGGAGCATGTACTCTGCCCCAGAGGAGACAAAAGCTGGGTCCCCATGGTGGGTCTGGTGTGTGGCAATGGGTCAGTTGAAGAAATACTCTCATGTAGGATGTCCACACTTACTGCTGGCTTTTGATGATGCAACAGGTAAGTACTTACATTTGCAACATACCAGCTCTTCAGGTCAGACTCTCCCTTAGGAGGCTGTGGAACTTAGGCTCGGTCTGTTTCTCACATTTGGAAAGATAGAGCTGATAGCTCCAATCCTTTCTACCGTAGAGGTGTTATGAGGATCAACTGAGGCGCTTTATATACCATGGGAATTATTTTCCAGGTTATGAGTCAGCACTTTCTGGTTTCTTTTCCAAAATACCTCTTAGTTTGCTCCAATGCCCACTGCTCACATAGTACTGGTTTGGCAGGCCTATAAACAGTGGCAGCAAATGTTTCATGTTACTGCATTTAGAGCTGGTGAGTAATAAATTCCTTTAGTAACAAAATCCTCTTTCTGAAGAAAAAAATTTTCAACCAAATGCTCACCCTCTTACCTGATAAGGTAGCAGCCATTAGGGATACAGTGACCTGGTAAGATACTAGTTACTGTCTTCAGGGAGTTCCTAACTCCTTCCGTTAGTGATAAGTGGTTTAGAAAGCCAGCTGACTCCCCTACTTGGCTCCAAGCAGTTTCTAGTTTATATTGTCTCCTGTATCCTTAAGTGCCGAGACGATGGGGTCTAATTGAAAAAAGAACTGTTAAGCCCTGGGTTTGTTTCTCTGCTTCGCCTCTTACTGAGTAACTGTGGGCAAGTCACTTTCTCCAAACCTGAGTTTGACCCGTAAAAGGGGGCGAATAATCACTACCTTACAGGGGTGTAGACAAGGTCTGTTCACTGGGACATGTAGCTATTTCTGTGATAGCTAAGTCTTCACCTGGGGATCTGAGCATCGTCTGGCTTGAGTCACCCAGCAGTAATTAGGACACCACTGAGTGGGCTGCCTGATTTAGGCTCCTAGGTAACAGGATGGATGGACCATTACAAAAGGAGTAAGGAGATGAACAGCAGCTCCCAGTCATAAGCATAAGCCTGGTATGTGCCACCTATCTGCAGAGATCAAATGCATGACTCATGTAACTGAATACTCACTTTAGCTTGAATGTATAAAAAGAAAATACAATTAAGCAAGGACTTGTAATGGACAAAAAAGCTGTCCTGGCCTGAGTTCTGGTTTGGTCCAGAACATCTAAAGTGCCAATAACCAGGTCCTATTCTCTGGCAGTATTATTTGAATGTCAAGAGAAAGTTTTATTTCTCAACCAACTAAGTACCTTGGAAGACCAAGCTAGAAAGTAAACACCCAGCATGGGCCACCAAGCTTTCTCCCAGCTGTAACTAAGTAAATGTGGTGGCCACTGCTGTTGCCTTTGATGGATTCCTAGAGCATACTGCTGACCTCAAAGCCAGGGCTCTCCATGTGCAATCCTGGGGGACAGAGAAGCCTGCTCCTGGTGACGAAACACCAGATGACTCATCTGGAATGAGACAGCACCATGAGGTCTGATGATTCAGAACACTGCCCTGCTTTCAAGTACAATCCTGGGCTTACTCAAAATGCTGACATTATTTATGCGTGTGTGTCATTCAGCACTCCTGTGTATAATTCACTTAAATCTTCCAGCAACAGGCCAACTTAACTTATTCTTAGGGTGCAAGAAAGCACAGCAGGAACACTGCCCCCTAACTTTTAAAGAACAGAAACGATCTCAAATTAATATCAAAGTTATCATGAGAAAAAATAAAAACTTTATTGGACTTTGTTACACTTATTTTACAGTTTAGTATTGCTTTTATTTAGAATTACATAAGCTTGGGGATGGCGCATTGTAATGTTTTTGAAATGCAGAACCTTTAAAGGTCTTAATCTGGCTGGCCCCACTATTAAGGAAAATGCAGTGTTTACTTTACTCTGGCAAAGGAAAGGGCTAAATCGCCCCTATCAGCCCCCCAAATCCCTTGCAACTTTATCTCTGTACCCTGACATAAACCGCTGGTTTAAAAGATGGTGGTTCCAACAATTCATATCAAGCCCTGCTTCCCTACCCTCCACCTCTGCCTAAGCTGAGCTTGTCGCCTCTATGTTCCATCTGTTAAATTCTGTAAGAACACTTCAAATCTAGCCTCCATCAGATTGTGGCTGAACATCTCTGACTTTGGAATACTGTCTACTCTCATTTTAGCTCCTACTGAGATTAGCAGCTACAACCAGAATGCTTAAAATGGACTAAAAGCACTTTGCAAAGTAACTTAACTCTCTAAACAATCTTATACATGTATGAGGTACTATCTTTTGTTGAAACGAAGAAAACACTGAGGCTCAGACAGGTAATCATTT